AGGCGCTCCTGTTGCACAATGACCGCTCTGGAATAGTCAAGGTGACAAAGAAACTGCATCAACTGATTCTCTGTGAGTTCAGTACTCGCGCTATGGGCGAAGCATCCTTGTGGATCATGTACATCTTGGTGGCAGAAAAGATAATGGTGCAGTGGTTGGTCATCAATCTTTTGTGCATCGCATGATGGGACACAAAAATACTTGTTGTGCGGGTGACAGTCAAAAGCAGTGACATCATGGCCCCAGTGTTTGAGCTCCATTTGCACTTTCTCTGCTGTGACCTTGCCCTTGATTTCAATGAAAGTAGGTACGAGATCTTGCCGCCCGTTTGCAATAATTTCAACTGCTTGTATATCTTCTTGATTGGTCTCTAACTGCGCTGTCCCAATTCCAGCAGTATCACAGGGCCCATGGGTGTGAGCCACCTGCCCATGTGTTTGGCGCTCCTGTGTCTGACTCAATGTTGTGGACAGTTGCAGAAGGATCGGACCAAGCGGGCGTGTTGGTCTGATATGGATGAGGATGCCCATGCCACTTCGTCCCATCCATGGTCGGCCTCTGTGCAGTTGATGTGAGCCATACCAGACTTCGCAATGATGAGTCGGAGGGCTCTGGAAGCACTGCATCTGGTATCCAATCCCTTCAATGATACGCTCCATGTATACATGCTCATGCGTGGTGCCTGCAATCTGGGTACTGGGTCCTCTGCTAGGCATGGTAGTATCATGGAGGTATAATGTCCATAGATTGGTGACAAGCGTTTCATGTGGATTCTGCACAAAGATGATGTTTCCAGCGAGATCCGGTTCCATCTCCGGTGGATGCGGCTGCACCAGGATCAGTTCATGTTCTTCATGTGAAACAACATGTTCTCGCCAGGCTTGTTTGATGACCCTTTCCCAATTTTCAAAGTCTGCTTGCAGTCGGACTCTTCGAGGATGAAGGCACTGATACCTTTGTCGCTCATGATCGACAAACCAGACTTCAAACACAGCAGATTTTCCAGCTTCTTCGCAGTGCTGGGTCTTGTCACTCCAGTGTACATGCAAGTCCTGGATGAACTCATTTTGCTGCTGGATGATGGGACAACCTGGTCTGAACACTGGTGCATTCGGATTCAATCTCGCTGGCACTGCACTTCTGTTGCTCGTTGTCTGCATCAGATTGAGTGTGTCATCTTCTGCTTGATCCCAAGCTTGTGCGCTCATGTATGTGACATCCTGGATGATAGTGAGTAATGAGATGCCATGGTGTGTCATGATGTGCAGGCCTTCAGGTAGTTGGCGATCACCATGCCATATCATGCACTGCAAGTCCGAGATCTGCGGATAGCATGCACTCACCCTGTCAATAGCAACAACAACATGTTCTTTGACTGTGACCCTTGGCAGGAAATGCGCGGAGTGTTGGAAAGAAGCTGTAGGATCTCTGGAGTCCACCAACGTGATCACTGCTGCACGTTCATCCTCTGGCGTTCTTTGCAGCAAAATCAGGTGAGGCAGACATGTAGGCTGCATTCTCGTTGTGGGAGGTTGTGGCTCAACTACATAGAAGTCGACTGGCTGTCCATCTTCAAGAAGGTCATGCCATCTTCTCAACAGCTGTTGATGCCATGTCCCAAAGTCGCTGGTGAGTCTCACCGTGCGATAATGCTGACAACTTCGGTGAACTGGATGGGTGAGAAACCATGTATTCACAAAGAGAACTGGTCCTTCTTCAGCTACTTCAGTGGCTCCATTTTCCTCCAATTGCTCCATGATGCGCTGGATGTGCTCCGGTTGTTCATCCAGACCAGGGCGTGGCACAATGCCTCCAGGAGCTTCATGGTCCAAGGTGGTGATGTAGTCTCTTGTAATGTCTCCGACATCATCCTCAGCCCGATCCTCTGGTTGTGGCGCGTCAATGAAACACTCCTTGGTGTCACTGATGAACCAGGGTCTGACTGGCAGTGCTGGGGCTGACAATTGTAGGAGAGCAGTTTCTTCTTCATCTGGTCTGAGTGGCACAATAGGATGGTCAATGATGGTGTCGTACCAACCAAGTGCATAAAGAGCATGCCTGTCACATAGCTCTGCAAGTGTAACTCCTTGATGACACGCCGTGGCCACGCACCGGGTGCCGATGTGTTCGACTGAGCTGTCACCAGGTGGCACTGCAATGCGCAGATAAATGCCATGACTCAGTTCCATGGGACTGGCACTGAAAGGCGACACCAGATTGCCATTGCACCATAAGATACAGGACCTTTGAGTTGTTCTGCAATACTCTGCGAGGCCCAGTCGATGCAACAGTGTGATTCTTCCAATGTGTCTAGGAAGTCTGACAACTCTCCGTACTACTTCTGGTTGTGTCATAGGATGTGCAGCATGAAATTCAACGTCAAGCAGGATCAGCTGCAGAGGGGAGCCTTGTGAAAGATCACCATGTCGATGTCCAATCAGTGCTTCCACGCCCGCATCTGCAAGGTCTTGTGGTGCTTGGCGAACATGATGCAGATATAATAGGTCATGATGGCTTACACCCAAGGCTTGTGCCGCCTGGCGGTGCATCGCTTCTGCATTGTTCCAGTCAACTCGAAGTGGTACGGGTTGATGATCCATGGCATAGAGATATGTCGCAAACCAATCTTGTGGCTCATGATGTTGTCCATCAGTACTGGCAGTTCCCTCATCGTCAGAGCTGTGGTCAGTTTCATGAGCATCTGGCTGCATCTCATTCGGATCAATGGCAAGATCATTGCGTTCCATAATTCTGTCATCATCCTCAAAAGTCGGTCCAAAAGTTCGATCACGTTCATGATTGCACATGGACATGAAAGAAGATTCATCACTGAGCAGGTGCTGCAAGGGTCGAAAGAGCTTGGTGTCCTTGACCATGGTATTGCTCGGAAATTTCCATCTGTGAAAAAAATGCTCATGCTGTACACCCACAAAGAGCTCCGCAATGTGATGGAATCTCACGCGCAAATCTCTGTCTGAACCCCTGACTGTCCTTCCTGCTGGTTTTTGATTTGGTTGATGAGACAACGGTAGCTCCTGCACATTGAATGCATGGTCTAACGCGTCTATGCTGGCTTTCCATTCGTTCACAAAATCGGGCTCGGTCAGGACGGAGTGCGTCCATTGATGAACCACGTAGTCCTCCTGCTGGAACTGCCCTGCATGCAGCCCTTGGCAAACCTCCAACTTGTGGTCTATTTGCCGGGCCCACCAAAAGGCTGAAGCGCTGCCTGTCCATAAGCAGGCGGCCCAGTGACATCTCCTGCTTCGCCTGGGTCCGTTCTCTGCTTTTTGCTGGCCTGCTCCCCTTGTTCTGCAATTGGACGAGTTCGGAGTGCTTCCATGCTGGTCACCATGGCCGTGATGTTGGCCTTGATCTCCTCTGCCGTCGCCATTCGGTCTGGTGGATCCTCGTCCATGCCATCCGAGATGTCTTCGACTTCTTCCACATGGGCCGCATCCTGGCGATCGTTGTCCTCCTTGGCAGTGTCGTATTTCTGCTTTGCTTCCAACACTGCTTCTTTGGCGGCCGTCACCTTTTTCTCCAAGTCTGCGTCCTTGCCTGCAAAATCGATGGCAAATGTTTTCCATCGTTTGATCGATTCTTCGATGTATTGATTCCAGGACTGATGCAGGTTTGTGCGGGCAGTTTGCGCCTGCTGCAACATCTTGCGTTTCTTCTCTAACTTGTCGAAGGCCTGGCGCACCGTTTTCGCCGTGACAGGCGGCGCTTCCGGCGGCTTTTTGGCTTTCTCGATCACTGTCTGCATCTCGTCCGTAGGAGTCAAATCTGAAGTCTCGATTGCATGTACCAGCTCCGTCAACAGCGACGCTTCTGCACTCCCCATCGCAGTGGTTGTGGTCGATGCTGTCTGGGCTCCTTGTGTGGAAGTCTGCCATGGCGGTTCCAACGCTGGAGCTCCATAATTGACAGGCTTCTCCTTTTTCTTCTGTTTGGGTGTCTTTGGTCTCCTGCGTGGTGAAGGTGCTGAATAATCTTGGGCTTCTCGATACTGATCCGCTCTTCTGCGCGGAGAATACCCTCGATGGGTCCAGTCTTCCTTCTTCCACTGTCTCCTTGAGTTCGATCTCGTCGATTCTGCATGTTGTGACTTCTGTCCATGAACGTAGTGGATGTCTATGCACTTGGCCCAGGGGCTGTAACACGATCCGCACTGCGCTGCAGCCTGTTTGTTCAGCCTCTTGCACCAAAAGCATCTCCACGGTTCTTTTGTTGACGTCGCCATCTCTTCGGAAAGGCGTCGAAGGAGAACCGGATCTTTGGAATGGTGCCGGCGCAATCGCCGATGTATTTCTGCAATCTGGCCCCCTGTGAGAGAGATCCAGCCACGTCGATGTAGATGCCACTGATGACGGGCCACAGCCCGTTGCCGGCGTTGTCGCCTCCTCTTGGTGGGCGTAATTCTCAAAGAAGAACAGGATCACCACAACAAAGACAGAGACGTAGTTCATGTACAAGCACAAATAGGGATCAGGTAGTGGTAGTACTGCAGGACGAAGTCGACCACAGTACAAAGCCAGCCAGATGCAACCCAAAGCGCTAGTCAACCCAGATTTGTACGTGGCTGGGACCACAGATCCAAGGTGATGCTTGGGTGACTAATCCAAGCAGAGCACACGTGCTCGTAGCGCACCAGTTGTCCAGGGAAATTCCAGTTCAGACAAACAGCGGTCGCTGCACAAAAGAAAGGCTGGCCACTATGGCGAGCCCGGGGGTGACGGGAACAAAACCCCCTAAGGTAGTGGACACGGAAACTGGCGTGGGGCAATCCCTATCAGTTCCAGCCAAACCTTATATATATATATTTATATGTGCAACAATACATCATCAGTTGTTTGGCTTGGTCAGCTATCAGTCTTCCACTTTGGTTCGAGGGAATAGACATACTGTAAGTCAACTTGATGGGTCCCTATTGAGGAGGAGTTTGTGTGGAATCCATCTCCTTGTGTTGTTCAAAAGTGGTGCTTCCGGAGGTCGCGATGGCATTTGCCAGGAAAACCAATGGAAAGAACCGCGCCTTTGGCTGTTCATATCTGAAGATCCAGGAGATCATGTTGAGCATAGGTCACTAGGTCACAAAAAGATATGAACATGATCTCCTGGATCTGAACATGCCATGAAATGATGGTCCGCCTTTTGTGAGGCTCTGGTGCAGACCTCACTTGGCGGCAAAAGGTCTGGCAGATCGTGGAATTGAAACGACAAGCCCAGGGATTGCAGGCGACTTCAATGGTGAGATGAAGCAATGTGGAAGAATACTATTGGCCAAAGATGGAGAATATGGAAGAACTTTCAGCTCTTCCAAAGCCCAGATTCTCAATCTTGATTGGAAACACAGGTTGGAGATCAAGGACGGTTGGAGATCGCCTGCCTGCAGGAGGAAAGCGAGCATTGCTGGCGGTGGAGGTTTGTGGTGGAGACTTTGAAAGCGCACCGAAGTTTGGAAAACAAGGACAGCATATGCACTATGCTAAGTTTCTGGTGCTCCGGTTCATTTTCTGGGAAGCGTTCTATTTCTTGACCAAGAACAAACCCTTTGAAATACATATTTCTAGGTCAAAAACATCATGCGCTGGGTGAGTGTGCATGCTAGGAGAGCTTGGAGAGCAAGCTTCAGAGGACAGTGGCAACAGAGCTTCACTACAAATGCAGTGGCATCTTGGATCATCAGATCATCGTCAGGATGGTGAGATTCAGTTGGTTTCAGTTGAATATGTTGAATATGTTGAACATCCACTTATCCATCAAGACTGAGAATCAACTGTTCATATCAGCTGGATGCAGCTAGCAGCTAGCTGTTTACTTCCACGGCGATGCCATACCTTTCAAAGCTAAGTCTGCAGGATGAACGAATTTTGGCCACAGCTCGCGGCTTAGAGAATGCCATGGTGCCAGTGTGATTCGTTCTGTGATTCTATGCACCATTGCATGGGAGCACCAGCACTTTCCAAGTCCACCCTGATACCGGCTCTATTTCATATCTTACAATATCTCCCATCATAAGGTGCATAAAACAATACATTTTCCTTGGGATGAATGTGGCTGAAGGTTCCATCAGCTCTGTCGCAGCTCAGAAGAACTTGCACGGCTGCCTCCCGTTGAAGTGGAGTCGGAGACTTTGCATTTGGAAGGTGCGGAGTGGGTTGGGTGTCGCCTTTGGAAAGTGAAGATTTCTTTTTTCATTTCTTACACCCATTGGCTTTTGGGCTTTGGGTTCAGGGACTGACATGTCATTCACTTTTGTGGACTGCTTGCCAGCTGGCTGTATTTGAGATGTCGTGCAAGGAGAGCAGGAGGCGTCGAAGCCGACAGCCAGTAGAAGTCTCCCTTCGTTTGGAAGCTCAAACTATTCGTCAAGGCAATTGCGCAATGCCTGGTTATGCTGTCGTTATGCTTCTCGCAAGTATACATACATTTTTTTCGCGCAATGGTGGCCATCATTTGTTTTTTTGCCGCCATTAAATATTGCCCTTTCCTCAAGTTTACCAGTCGACTGGACCCCTAGCGCAGCGATCGGTGCCCTTGTGAGGTTAAAGGTCAATGGCAGCCTCTACAGGGGTCATCGCTATGTGGGGGTTTGAGCCTCGTGGAACTCGTGGAATTGAAAGGAAAGAGCGATTGTGTGGCTGTCGGCGAGGTTAAAGGTGCTGAGTGGAAGACCCGAGCATCGAGGAGAAGCGCGGGAGTGTGATGATATTTTTTCACAGAGTTCCAGAAGCCACAAGCATCTTGTCACCAATTCTTGCAGCCATTGGCCTTGGATCAAGAGTGATAAATGAAGCTGAACATGGCAGGAGATGAAATGTTGAGATGTAATAAGCCTGGTTAGATCTGGTTATAAAATAGTCGTCTCAAAACAAGAAGGTGCAGCAATCAATAGAATAATGGACTTTCCATGTTCATAACATGCCAAGTGCTGTGACATCCAAATAGCACTAGTCTGAACAGCCGCTCATTCACGCGGTAAATCTTCATTGTTCAGGCATAGACCGCATGCTGTAACGCAACATAGTTTAAAAGGTACAATGCCGACAAACAAATAGAAAGTGGCGAGGTGAGATATTTGAATATTTGGATCGATCAGTTTCCTTTGGCATGAACTTCCAGGAGGGTTTAGCAACAAACCTCCCATGGTGTTTGCAGGCGAAAGCTCAGTACCTGGAAGGTGACTGGCATTTTGGATGTTTGCCTCATGTCAATCAGAGTTTTTTTTGTTGTGGTGATGAGCTGATCGAACTCCGAGAACATGGTGAACGTGTTCTCATCTATCGCAAAAGAGCGTTGAATGATGCAGCTGATCAGATGGATAGCTTCCGCGATTTGTCTGAACTGTCACGGAAATCCGATGCCTCGTGGTGTGCTGCTAAAGATCGGGCTTTGGAATATCTCTGGCTGGCATTTTCTGAAGCACGGGTGTTGGCCATTGGGGGTTTAGAGGTCTTGCGCTTTGGTCTGCAAGACCTGTCATGTCAGGTATGTTGGGCCTCGGAGGCAGAAAGATCTGCACAGATTGCAAGGGTCATCCATCGCGACCTGCAGGCGGTCCTGACGAGATTACAACAACTGAGGTATGGCCTGCCCACATGGGAACCATGTCTGCCACACTGGTGGCAGTTTTTAGCTGCCCCTTTCAATGTGGTCAATGTCAGAGTGCGCATGGCTAGCAATGTGGATCGCATGCTGGCACTGCGGCAATGGATGGAATCGATAGCTGTGTCTATGACTGCAGTAGCGGGAGAGTTTCAATCTCTCTCATACATCCTACATTCAAGTTCCGATCTTCCAAGCACAGAACCCTCCGCCACATTGGAGGGACAGATCCGCGATGTCCCAGTCCCAAATCAACAATCTGGCAGGGTAGCTCTGTTTCTGCATGAGTGCGCACAGATTTCGTATCCTAAAGTTGATATCATCACAGTTGGGAAGGAAGAATGTCAATCCCTTTGGCGGAAATTTCCTTATGCCTCCCCGAGCACCTCAGTGATGCTTCCCAATGCGAGCCTACGTGTGTCCTGCTTCACCATTCCCTCAGAACCGCAGCTGGGGCAACTGACCAACTTCCTCCAGGGCGGCCAGGAGGCACCCAGGATTCCTGGCTGTTCATTGGTGGAATCTGCAACACCTTTTGACTCAAAGGTTTTGGATGTCCATTGGGTCCAAAATGTCCAAAATGTCCAAAATGTCCAAAATGTCCACAGCTCAAAGGCCTTGATTTTTGTCTGTCTTCACAGCACCTTCTGTGGAGGACATGGGGATCGTCTCTTTGGCTTGCTATCGGCCTACCTTGCTGCCCTGCTGTCTGGTAGAGCATTTTATATTGATATGAGGGCACCCATCCCCTTGTCCAGTCTGCTATATCCCAAGAGATCCTGGCCTGCGATCTCGGGTTCATGCATGACATATCGTTGGACCTCCGCAGAGGATCAGGAAAGTTTGGATGGAGATATCCAGCAATTCATGAAAGATGGCTCGGAGGTTTTATGTGTTGCTTCCAACCTGAGGCTTTTTAAGTCACTTTTGAAATATGACATGTCGAAACAGTTCACTCGGCCTGGTTTGCTTTCTGGACTCTTCCTGGATCTTTTTTCATTGGCTTCGATGCCAAGAGCCTTGCTCCTGGACTTCCGACGCAAATTGGATGGTCGGAAGCTGATTGGAATCCACTTCAGAGCAGGAAACGAGACCAGCTGGTCAGATCCCGCACGCCATGCCCTGTCAGAGCTGGAGCTGGCATTAACATGTGCTGCAACGGTGGAGAACCATCTGAATCTTCAGGACTCTGCATGGCTGTTGGCAGCAGATACCTTGAAAATCCGGCAGCAGCCAGCTGTGGTGCAGCTGCATAGTATCGGAAAAATTGTTTATCTCGAGGATCGACCGACCCATATTGACAGATCCAGCCCTGATGTGGATGGCATTTTTCAGTCATGGGCCGCCTGGTGGGTCTTAGCTTTTGAGACTGAAGCGCTCCTTTTATCGCATTCCAACTTCGGTTGGAGTGCTGCGGAGATCGGCCAAAGACGTGCCTTCCATTTCCCTTCTTGTAGGCCAGCCGATGTGACAAGTCCTTGAAAAAGGTGCAAAACCTCTTGTGAGGGTGAAGGAGCAACATAGTGACATAGTGATGAAAGTGATGTTTGTTGGAACTGAAGATGGATTCGCAGATTCTTTCATGCTTTCTCCTGAAAAAAAAAGAGTCATCAGGTGCCATCGCTCATCCAGGTAACGTGTTGGATTTGGTTCAAGTGTGCAGCCGCTTCTGCCAACAGTCTCAGCTCAACCATCTTTCGGCAGGAGCCGATGGTGCGCTTCTGACTTTCGTGCAGAGGCAGCGAAAGAGGTGTGCAGCCCATCCGTTCCTGTGAGGTTTGGAGACGCTTTGGTTGTGCATCAGCTGTCTTCGAGGCACAAGTCGGGCCAAGATTGTCCCGGTCCATGTCACAAAAGCTTCAGGCACGCCAAGTTTTTCACTGCTGATTTGGTGTGCACTGGTAACAGAGACTCCTGTTTGAAACACAGTGATGCGATTCTTGGGAGATTAGTCAGTAAAAGAGTTCAACTGCTCTGCTTGGACGATTTTGCTCACATCTATATATACTGACTGTAATCATCTATATATACTATATTACTATATGATATGTATTCACATCCACCATGCGCAAAGCTTGGAAGGAAAGCGGGGATCAGAGCTTCAAAAGAGCTGGAAATAGCTGGACCACGAGCTGCTAACTCCATTTCGTGCAGGACAGCTCTATCATGGATCCTTTGGCACAAGCCTCTCCTCAAAAGAAGCTGCGGCATTTGATGATCCGAAGGCAGGGATGGTCTTTCCAGTACGGGCACAAGGGCACTACCCCCAACACCAGTGGCAACAAATGTCGCAACGACGGTCAGGTGGCATGAGGTGTAAGATGGTGTAAGTGAAACTGAACCAGCGTTGGACAAGACTCTCGCAGAGTGACACTCAAGCTACTTCTTGGATCCTTCTTCCAAGAGAGCAAGAGCGATTAATGTAACAATTATCAGATTCTGTATGCAAAACGTACAATTATTTTATATTATTGTCATGCCATTCCTTGAGGCCTCAACGCAGAAAGTTGCCCAGAAGGCTAAGTTTGAAATCGGTCGATCCAGGCCTGTCCAGAGCGACAACACAACGTTCTGCTCAACGCGGACCAGCTTTCAATCTCCCAAAGCAGCGAGTGCGTCGCCGGAGAAGAAGCAGGCAGGGAAATGCTTGAAACACGGGAAAAAATATTGCGTAGTTGGATAGTATACAACCCCATAAATGCTTAACTATACCATTCGCCAACGGGGGGTAACCAAGGATAGAACACGATCATTATTAATTAATTTAATTATCAACCAACGGACATGATGCTTCATCCCATCACAAGGATCTTTAAGGTATCGTTTTCCCTAGGGAATATATGGTGCATTCAGAGCCCCTTAGGAATTTCATGTGTGCCTCAGTGAAGTGGGCGAACGATCAAAATCAGAAACAGCCAGAGTTAAGTAGCCCAAACATTAAAGCTTCAGCTGATCAACACATGAACCATGCGCGAAGTTCATGTGAAAGCAAGACACCTTCCCTTTCCAGTCGTTCCTGCAGTGACAGCCTCCCGATCCCAAACGGTAGCGAAGGTCCTGGGTCCATCCCTTCCAAAGAGAAGGCGATCTCAACATCGTAGGCAATCTGAGGCGCTGTGTGTGGAGGTTCCAAATTCCATGTCAAGTCTTTCAGAGAAAAGTAGCTGATTTGTGATGTATCCTTCATTGTTCCATGTCCTGTTTAGGACACTCAACTTTGAAATATATAGTTGATTTACTCCTAGCGTGGAAGCCTGCAAGCAACCCCTGCAACACCGTGACGCTATAGTCAAACGGTGGTCTAAAGAAAGGATGCAGCATAAAAGTAGTGGTTCTGGGTGCGACTCAATTACAAGTATCACTATCACCAGTATCGCCAGTATCAGCAGTATCACCAGTGATAAAGGTATTTCAAATCTGGGATCTATGTGGGATCTTTCCAATCATCACAGAAGGGGCCGAAAAAACATCTGATGACAGGTGTACCTCTCATCAGTGATGCTCCAAGAAGGAGGCATCAAGAGTTAGGGCGGCCCAGCCTTTCACACGCGCTGCAATGCAGATTGGGTCGGGAAGCTGTGACCCTTTTTACATGATATCAGACTGGTATCAAAGCATCCAAAATCAGCAATTGTGAACATCTACAAACACAATGGATGTTTCCCTGAAGCTGAAGACACTTGTGTTTTTTGCAGTTTGTTGCAGTTGCAGCAGAGTATCCCCAAATCATCCACTTCAATAGGATTATCCACTACTACAAACCATTCAGCTATTGGGGTACCCCCATTTATGGAAACCCGCATTTTGGATCATCCATAAACTGCAGCAGTGATTTCCAAACTGCAACCGACAAGGTTGGAGTGACCTGGGCATGGGCCGCGACAGAAAGACCCGGGGACGGTGATGGAGATTTGATTGTTCCAGATTTTCAGGGCGTGCCATGAGAGACTGGTGCAGTTCATGGATCACTTGAAAACACATCGATCTGTGGGTTTCCAGATGTTTCTTACATGTTTCTCTATGTTTCTCTTGCCTATCAACGTCTTCGGATCATGCAAATTGATGCGTGATGTGCGAAACGGTGACACCAGGAAGCCTTTTTCGAGCCCAGAGCTTGGCAGACATTTTCTGGGTTTTTCAGTACCTCCACTGATTTGAAAGATTTTGCCGTGAAAACCAGGGCTTCATTCGATTCCTCTCTTTCAGGTGAGAACCTCGGTGCTGCCGATTTCATCGATGGTCTTAGCCCCAGACACTTGGCAAAGGATGGTAGGTACGTTCCTGTTGACTTCAAGAAACTGTAGGGAAAACATGGGTGTGTCTGAACATGGTATATATATATAATATATATATATAATATATATAATATATATATATATAATATATAATATATAATATATAATATATATAATATATTATATATATAATATATGATATCAGTATATCCACAAAAACGGTCATTTAAATTTAATATCATTTCATGGTGATTTTTAATGGGAAAAAGGGATGATCAACCACTGGATTTTTGGATTCCCCATATTTCCGTGGCGCCGAGTCGCGAGGTTCACCCATGGATGAAACTCCAAGAGCCGAGGTCCAGGTGTTGCGCAGGGCTGAAGAGCTTTTCCCCTTAATGTCATGTACTTGTATTCATAGAAGTGAATAGATTTTCAATGATTTTCATACGTCTAATTATAATAATATATATATATATTTATTAATATATATTATATGATATATGTGTGGATGAACTTTCAATATGTACTCTCCTTGGAAGAAGTGCGCTGAGAGCCCTTGTAGGGGTCGACATTTCGACCTCCATGCGCAAACATGGTCCCAGATGCATCTTGCAGAGGTTAACGGCGATGCGAAAGTTTCCTTCACAGATTTCCAGGATTCTTCACAGAGGCCTCGCAATTTTTGACCCCCAGAATCGATTGGAACTTGCCGCATATGTCATAGGTGATACTAGTTGGTACACACGTTCACGTTGGGTTCATTGCCTCAAAACGATATTTTCGGGGGATGTGCAGACTCGCAAGACTTCTTGTCTTCCATCTCATTCTGTGGAAATATCAAGCTGACGTTTGCCGTCTGAATGTTGAAGAACAGCACTGCACTCAAGAAACATAAGTGTGAACCACAACCGAACATGCTAAGTCTCATCGAACTGCCATGGAGGATTCTACTGGTGCCTTCCATCATGTCACATGGCCGGCTTGCCAGCAGGGTATCGATCCAAACTGCACCCCATGTAATATTAGATTCATAGCCACAAACCAGTCACTTTTCTTCCCATTGAACATTGCCATATTTTGTCAGTGTACATCCAATCATATATATATATATATATTCATATATCATATATCATGGGGATGTACGTAACCAACTAACCAACTAACCAACTAACCAACTAACCAACTAACCAACTAACCAACTAACCAACTAACCAACTAACCAACTAGCCAACTCTATGATATTATGGATGTGTTTGACCATGTTTTTTTTTTTAAAGCCCCCTATAGATTCGCCCAAAAATGCCGTAGGTCCCCCTGGCCATTGACCGATGAGCACGAGCAGCCGACCTGGGACGAAGCGCTGCCGGAGCCTCCGAGGAATTCACTGATTCGGAGGCTGGGATATGTTGGGATGTGAACAACCAATGTATATTATATGATATATGATTATACGTATGACAATATGTATATATATATATATATATTATATAAACTGTATATATATATGTATATATATATATATGTATATATATATGTGATATATATAATGAATAGATACACATAAGGATATCTCAAACAGCAACAATGGGAATATCACTAGCCGCAACTGCGGATTTCACTAAGAAAAACCGAATACGAAACACCTGCGAAATCTCCAAGAATTCCATGTTTCCCCAAACCTACAGCGCAAACAAAGTCGATCATCAACCAGGCATTTGGGGTCCCCAATTCCGTGACCCAAACCATATTCCTACGAACACTCGTTGAACCCTACGAAGTGTGAAGGCCTAACACATTTTAGATCATACACATCCAACATCATCCAACCGCAGCAGGCCAGTGTCTGCCGCTGCACTACGAAATGTCAAGGATGCCGGTTGGGTTGTGGCCAAGCTGAAGCCCCAAGATGCAGACTTTGATCGTTGGGTCGCCGTTTTTGTGTTGAGGACTCCACCACCAATATCTACCTCCAGGCACTTGCCTTGGGGTGCAGAGCACACCTGATGTATGAAAGAGATCCCTAGGTGCCTACAGATGCCAAAAAATCATATCAATGTGGTAAAAGGAATCTACAGCGATGCAAGTCTGGTTTTGGCATAGTTGCCAGAACCCTCTGAACGAGTAAGTTTAGTTTGTACATCCATGCGGTCTTTCTTTGCTTCCTCAAGGAATGTGCCAGCCAAAAGCTACTTCCGAGGCCAGGGAATGCATCGCTTCACAAGAAACAGCTGCGAGCCATTGTGTGTTTGCCATTGGTTTCCCCTTTAAATCCATGATTTTTGGCTTCTCTTCACTCAGAAACATATTGGATCATTACCATTCATTACCCATACTGTATTACTACTCATCTAAACATGACCCAGACAATCACCTCCCAGGCCATCACCGCTGATCACGGGCCATTCCTGTCGTTTGGACGCCCGGCATTCGGGCCTCAACGACGCGGAACTCAACGCCTGCCGAGTCTGCATGGCGCAGCTCAGCGTGGAAGCCGTGGATTTGGAGGCCCTGTGGATGGCGTGGGGGATGGGACGCCATTTTAAAGGGAACACTTATGGGAAACATGGTGATAAACTGATAAACATCGTAGATTTGTGGGCAGCCTGATGGCATGATGTCTGACCAGGTATGGGTATTATCCTAATGACAAGTTGTGCTTCAAAGGTGGGAAGGTGTCACTTGCAGAGGCCAACATGACGCTCAGTGATCAAACTATCGCTGATTTCCTCGTTGTGACCTCAAAGTGTTGGCAACATGGTGGTTGGCACATGTGTGGTTGAAACGAACCATGGGGGTTTGCCCAAAAGTGCGGGGGACACCATTCTATAGCCATTTCAATGGAAGAAAACTTAATCTAAACCGTGGGCGACTATTTTTGGAGAAACCTCCATAATATGTCCAACTCAGTTATTTGCCATTTGCCCATTCAATGGTCCCGTGGTGCCTGTCCAGTGGCTGAGGGCTCACTCGGAGCTGCGAGCCTGTCAAGCCTGTCGTTTCTCAGCTTGACGAAGCCTTAGCTGGGCCTTAGCGATCAGTGGGATGCGTGTTGCGACTTGATGCGACTTGTTGAGGGCAATTCTTGGCTTCGAAAGTGGTCATTTCCCACTAATTACTACTAACCATTCTTTAGTTGCCACTATTTACCAGGGTCATTATTCTCCCACAATTATCCCACTAATGGCCCATCCCACTTGATAATATCATGGATTATCAAACACCAGGAAGGACTGCTCTGGGGCTGGAGCTCGCACAGCAGCTGTGATGTGAACAGCTCAGTTAGCGACACCATGGTGCAAAGATCCCTTGGGGATCCTTGGGGTTTGATGGATTTCTCACAGATTCCAGGGTACTTGCAGACGTCAAGGTGAGTTTGTCTGAAAATTTAGGGAAACCCCCATTCTATCCACTGGTTCACATGAAAATTGCCATTGGGGTCCCATCCTCCGTGCCAAGGCTGCAGATGTTGGGAGACTTCAACAGCTTGAAAACCTTGGTCGCTTGGCGTGATCTGCTGTGGGACATGTTTGTTTTACCATTTGGATGACCTCAGACCAGCAACTGTTGGCAGGACCTTTCCCAGTGTTGGAAATTGAGAAACTGTCGAAACCCACCAATGGTGCCATGTTTTCAGGACTTGAGTGGCATCAAAATCAACATGCAGGCTCGTGCTGCGGAGCTGGGCGGGTTTGATGTCAATTGCAGCTCAAGTGAAAGTCCTGGAATCATGAAACTGGAAAGTGCGGCCAAATGATACGATCATACACTCTATAATGCTTCTATTGACAGTTATTACAGTATTATATAGATAGATGTATTTATTTTACATAGAGCATGGGTTGTATATTGAGATGAGGACTGGACCACATATGACTGGACGGAATATCACCAAGAACAACTGGTTTCGAGTCCCGATAAGAACTAACAACCACCATCAACCAGCGTCAAAAGAGTTGGACCATGACATTCACAGCTGGGGATGGCAAACTTGTAGAGTTTTTTTTTCTGTTGCATCAGAAAAATGTCCAGACTAATTTGGTAGAGGAAGTGCTCTCACTTGTCCCCAATCTGAATAATTATCCGCAATGCCATTTACATCCAGATAAGCTTAGTCACTAAAGATCTACAGATATAAATCAAACTTCATGCCCCCCTTGGCACCCAACCAATTGAGCAGTGGCTGCAAAACCCCTGTTGGTTAATTATAATAGGGGGTCAAAATTATAATAGCAAAACTAACTATTATATTTGGGATCATCATCATCATCATCATCATCATTGATTATTTTCACTTAGCCATTATTGGGGATTGCTAATAATCTAATACTCCGTATATGGTCAATCATTAACTATTAGCATCATCCGTTATTGGCATTTCTATGAATCAACCAGTGCAGGGATGGAATGAGAGGCCTTTCACGCATTGTGTGGAACGCTTGGGAAGAGCCTTAGCTGAATTCATGGATGGTTTACTTCAATTTGACTAATACTGATGCAAGTGATACCCACGCTTTTGTTCATCATTCCTCCATCATTTCTCTATCAGGTTTGTCTGAAACTAGTGTGCCCCGAAACCCATGTGTTGACCGCCATTTTTGACATGATTTCATGGCAATACATTGACATTTGAACCCCCCAGAGATATTTACAGAGCCACCTATCATATCAAAGTTGGTTAGATCTCCAGAAATTTTGGTTATTGTTGTTTATCTAACCAACCCTATCATTTTGGTATTGGTTATTCTTGGTTTATGTACCAAAACTTTCCCTATCATTTGCGACTCTGGGACCCCAAGGCACCCAGCCCTTGAGTCCTTGCAGCTGGCAGATCTGGGCATTGGCTCTTCTGGTGTGGCACTCGGGGGCGGGGGGCTGGCCCATTTCCATCAAAAATTGAGGGTTTTAACCATCCAATGGTTTACATAACATGGATTAACCATCCTGAAATGTGGATTAACCATCCTGAAATGTGGATATAGATGGATATTCAGCCAATATCATATTAAAAGTGCGTGAACGGATCCAGTATTAAACCAAGGTTTCTAGGGGGTATTTCATATTAGGATGCTAGGATTAGTGGTCAAGCATTGCCCCAACTACCTGTAGGTCATGACTTATCCGTTGGTGCACACAAGCTTTTCGGTTGTGAACTTAGCCGTCTACTCCCAAAAAATCAAAAGCATTTGTTGTTGATTAAAAAATCAAAAGCATTTTTGCTGCTTATAGACCCAATTCGATTGTGACAGTTAGAACGATGGACATAGCGAGGAACAGTTGGTTTCGGATCCATTTCACGGTGACTGCGGATTTTGCAACCATCCTTATTGATAAGCGCCCCATCTTTGCTCGGTTGCAGATCCTTTTTTGTTGTCAAACAAAAGCCCAGTGACTTGTAAGCTATGTAAACATGGTTCCTAACCATGGTTTATAACAATTTTTCATATCTCTTGTTTGTGACGCACAATATACAGTATATCTAAATAGTAGACAATAGACACATCATTCGATGATACTTCACATATTTGACACATCTATATACGTCTATACATCTATACATCTATACATCTATACATACATACATACATACATACATACATACATACATACATACATACATACATACATACATACATACATACATACATACATACATACATACATACATACATACATACATACATACATACATACATACATACATACATACATACATACATACATACATACATACATACATACATACATACATACATACATACATAACATACATACATACATACATACATACATACATACATACATACATACATACATACATACATACATACATACATACATACATACATACATACATACATACATACATACATACATACATACATACATACATACATACACATACATACATACATACATACATACATACATACATACATACATACATACATACATACATACATACATACATACATACATACATACATACATACATACATACATACATACATACATACATACATACATACATACATACATACATACATACATACATACATACATACATACATACATACATACATACATACATACATACATACATACATACATACATACATACATACATACATACATACATACATACATACATACATACATACATACATACATACATACATACATACAGCATACATACATAGATACATAGATACATACATACATACATACATACATACATACATACATACATACATACATACATACACACATACATACATACATACATACATACATACATACATACATACATACATACATACATACATACATACATACATACATACATACATACATACATACAATAGTATTATTATGTATCTTAATAATAGTATTTAATGTATATATATATACATATATATATATATATGGCCCAGTGTCTGGTGGTCCCCCCCCGGAGTCCTTACCCCTTGCCAGGCACGGTCGGCTCGGGCTCCTTGATCCCATCCCTGGATTCCATCCTCAGCAACCGCACGCTGCGGGAGCGCCTTGGTGATAACAAGATGGTGATAACGGTGATAACGGTGATAATGATACGCCTTGGGATTATGTAATCTCCCAACTTGTTATTTAAAAAAAATGGTGATAACGGGAGATTTTTAAGGGAGATTTTTCCAAGGGATTACAATCTGAGAAAACATCTTGGGAGATTTTGAAGATATTTCTTGGGAGGAACATAGAAATGATCAGTGTTGGGAGTTATATTCTGAGATTCTCCACTTTTTGGGATGAACGGACTGAGAGCAGAATAGAAAAGTCCTGTTTGCCAAGCCGTGACCAACTGGATCAGCTGTTGGTTAGGCTGGATCTAAGCTGGAACCTCTTTGACGCCCAGGCGAGCATTGCTGGATCTGCTGTGTTTTGGATGTGGCCATGGTGGGTGATATGCCCTACTTTAGATACTTTAGATACTTTAGATAGGAACATCAGCCATTCATATCATCAATGGATCAGATAGGGGCGTGGTGGATTTTCAACTTCAACATTTTCCTATGTAGAACATAAAACATCCACCATGTTCCAAATCATCATCCATCATTTTCATCTAAGTGGTAGAGTTTCCATTGCCAACTTAGCCCATTGTCCAGGTTCTGGTGAACCTCGGTCGACGTGCAGGGGCGCCCATTGTGGGTGGTCTCTAAGCACCATTCGTTGGGATTTGTCAAGGGAAAATCTGCTGGAAAGTGCTGGAAAGACTGGGTTTTTGCCATGAGATACAGGGCTTTCCAGTAGATTCTCGCTGATTCATGAATATTCAGGACCTGCACGTAAATCGAGTACGATTTTCAACAGACGCCGCATAAACCTGCAACTTCTACCCTATCACCAGCTTGGCTGGGTAGCTGGGAGAAAGATGATACTCCAAATCAAGATCCTTTATAAAGGAAAGTGAAAACAACACATTCCAATTCAGAGGCGATAGGGTCCATCAGAAGGCAAAAATCAGACTACAGAGAGTAGGGAGGGCCTCTGCCGAAGAGTGGTGCAAAGTTGCCGGTGCCCACATTTGAGGGGTGTAACCAGCAACATTTATATAGTAAACCCCAAAAAGACACAAAAGATAGAAAAGTGAAGTCATACTCAGTGTTCAATATGTTCAATTACATGTTTTTTCTTGGGGGTTGCTATACCCCAATTCCATCAGGTCCGCGAGAGCAATCTCTCCAGCCTGCGGATTGCCAGCTGCGCGACGCTGGTGCCACTCCTCAGATGCCAAAGTCATGTGACTGTCGCATTTTCCCAATTTTGTGGGCTCTGAAAGGTACCTCCAATAGGTGCCCCAGGTACCCCATAGGCCCTACCACGTGGATTCCCCGAGGTATCTGACAATGGGCAGGAAGTCGGACAGCCAGTAGGAAGCTCAACGATGCCATGCACATTCCCAGAATATACTGCTTTGTAGATCAAGGTTGTATAGCACCTGTAGAATATACTACGATGGTATAAAAATGTATAATATGTTTCAAGATCAAAGAATATTCTTGATTTGTTAACAAAGGCTGCATTCCTGGAGTATTTGTCTAGCTCGTGCGGGCCCAAGACTTTCAGCACAACCTTGGGATGACTTCATCAGGAATTCTGTCGATCCGCTTTGTTTCTTTAGCTGCTCTGCTCTGTCGACTTTCTAGCGATATTTTTGTTGCCCCGTCCACTTGAATTGTTCAGGTGTCCTTTGAAAGAACTTGATATCTCCCTGAATCGGATCGACTACAGAGCGGCTATTGTGTTGGAGGACGGCAGTGAGATCTGAAAGCTGTCTTTGATCCTGACTTGAAGCCTGGGAGTCTGAAGGACTTTCTGTCGCAGAATTCCAGACTCAGAGCAACCTGGCACCACTTAAAATTCTGAGCAAGTGATCCAGAGTATGGAATGATTCAAATGCTTTTTCTTCCAAAAATTGGCTCAGATGATACTATGTTAGTCTCCGAGCATCCAAATGGGTTTGTTCAACAATTAGAGTACCCATTCCCTGCAATGGTTTTTCATCATCATTGTCCGCATTGTCCGCATTGTCTAATGGCCATAAATTGAGGAAACCCCATATTTGGACAAACCGGAATCCCCATTATGGGCACTTCAAGTCCATTGTTCATGGGTGGAATCTCTATTTTTGATAGTTAAATCATCTTATATAAATCGCTAAATCATGCTAAATCCATATAGACTATCATAATCTATCATATAGATCACATAGTCAACGCCCCAATTTGTTTCATGGTGGGTCATCCGCTTCCCTGCTTTGATCACCGGGACTTTTCCCGGACTCTAAGGCCCTGGATCTGTCCCACAATCCGTTGGGACCCGTGGGCATTCGCAGCCTGATACGGCTGTTGGTCTATGAGGAGCCGGGAGACTCGGGAGATGAAGAGCTGGTCGCACTGGATGGGATGAACATGGATGAACCGCCCATTTGGGTATGGGTCAATACCTATAGATACATTTTTAGTGGGATGAACATCCATTTACCAGCTATTTTGGGGTTCACTAGGTACCAGGGTTTTGACCCATCCCCATTTTACGGAGATTGATCTGTGAGCAAAAATGGGGTTGAACTAGCCATTGTATGGAGATGTGGGGGATGTGTATAACCAACAATGTGATATGGCTTTGTCCGAAAACCCCGTGGTTTTGTGTTCCAATGGATGGCCGTTTGACAATGGGAAACAGAATGATGATCCATCTGAATTTGAGGCTACCCTAGTTTCAGACAAACCCATGTGGTTAAAATATTACCATTTTGATGGGACATTATAATATATTATAATGAGCAAGCTTTTGGGACTTATATATGACAATATATGACATAGTGAACAGTGATGTCCCGCTTTTGAGACGTATATGGGGGAACATGTTCAGAGTCCATCAGCGCCGTCGGGTTTGCCCAGGTCTGGACTGAGCCGGATCCATTTGGAAGGCGAGATGCGGCGAGATGGGGTACCCCCAGAAAAGGCTGGTGATGTTGAGAAGGTGATGAGAATCAAACAGCTAATGAAACCATTCATTTTGTGCCCGAGAAAAATCGCCCCCAGCAGAAATTCATGCCGCAGGCTGCTCAAACGGAGAACATCCATCAGCCATTCCGGACTTGTGGCTTGGACCGTTGGATGTCAACCAGGGTCCAAGCTGGTCCATGATACCCTCCAGGCTAACATAGACAGATGTAGAAAACCCAGCATCTGTAGATGATTTTCACAGGGAAACCATGGGTTTTCTACATCTATGTTAGTTTAACCCCAAGGTAATCGTGTTTCTAATACCAAAATTAAGATCTTTGCCACCTGCACCTCTTCCTGGTTTGATGTGATTCAATCTGAACCATCCTCTGTCTCAACAGCTCCCGAAATTCTTACCCCATTTTGCCTCGAACTGACATGGTTCCTACAAGCTTGCTTTACACATTTCTTCTCCGAAGTAGTGGTGCTGCGGTGCCTTGCAGCTCCGCGAATTAAACCGCAATGTTTTGTACAGTCTTTTTGGAGGCTCCAGGCATCTATGGGTAGAACTCGCTGGTAATATCTCTCATTGGGATACTGCGGAGCGATCCCGACATAGTTTTGTGGACAATTTTTGTCCAGAAGGAGGAATAGTACTAACACGATAAACGAGAACATATACAATAAAGATAAACATGATAATCATGACAATCATAGTGATAGTGCTACTAGTAATGACAAGAGTGACAATGATGATAACAAAACACACACACACATATTATATATATACACAATATAATATATAAACATATATAGTAACGATGTCATAACTATGGATTGTGAGATGAGTTACATAGGGTACCATCTCAGGAGTGCTGGATTTAGCCCTTCGTACTCGTACCTGAGGCAGTTCATCAATACAAATAACCCTGGTGGCCACTATATGTTGCAGCTTGACAGTCGAAGGCTCAGTGCAGTCTGTGAAAAAATCGCGACTGGGTCACTGGGTCGGTCCAAAAATAGGATGGTCCACCAGGTTTAGAACACAAATTTTCCAGTTAAGAGTTGTGAAAATAGGGCCTACCCGATTTCTGGGCGCACGCCACTGAGTTTCCGGGTCTGCAGATACTGAGGACCTGACCATCGTTCCCTGCTGAGGACAGACATGGTTGCTTGTTTCGGTACCAAAGAAGACATACTGAAATGTGCCAAATACGAAATGCGATGCCTTTACTTCTTGAAGGATGCTCTACAAGTCCTGTGATCGTTTGGGCATTCCAGCGAGCCAGGCCATCGATGTTGGGAACCTTTTTTGGTCTTGGGAGCAGCACGAAATGAAATGCAAAAAGGATCTGAAGGGGAGTGCTGAATCAGAATTGATCAGGAAGAAACTCAAGCGAGCTTATTCAAGGTCAGAAGAGCTCATGGTACTGCATGTTTGTGAGTTTGAATGACCATTGCGAATTCATGAGTCTAAACCAGCAGCCTGAGCAAAACTGGGGTGACTTGCGGCAGGCCTTCTCGCACGTGCAATATTCTCGTGGCAACTATTCACATCCCTCAGCCAGGATTCTAAGCCAAAGGAGCGAGGCTTCTGGATCGTCACTTCAGATTTTGGGAATGATCTCCTGGTATCTTCTGGTTGGATTTAGTGGAATTTGGTAGTTTAGAGAGACCTTCTTTCTGGACGTTTGTTGCATTTCGACAAATGCCAAGTACAGCCGTGGTCAGTAGCAGGGCTTCGGAGATCTTTCTGCTAGTCGAACTCGGTCAGCTGAAGCTTCGCTTAGGTCGGTGGAGATGGTGTTTATGAAGTTCGTACCGATGGCAGGCATGTTGTAAGTGTCCTTTCTTTCAGCCTGACATAAAGTTATCATTTCCGGATCTTGCCCAGTTGCTTTTCTGCTACTAGTAACTACTAGTACTTTGCTGGCAGTCTGCATCAGGCTTCAGGCAACCTTCAAGGTTGAGAAGGCTATTCATCAATCCATGAAGGCCAGTGCTTCTGAAGAGGAAGCTGCTTATCACCTGCAGGCAGTTGATGTCTCACCTGCGGCATTTTTTTGGCCACTGCCTTCAACTGCAGGTTGACGAGGATGACTTCGTGACATTTTTCCAGAAGAGAAATGAAAAGATGAGGCGTGCCCACCAAGCTGCATAGTAGTCCCTGTGCCAACAGTTCACAACAGTTCAACAGTGGAGTAAAAGGTCATAGGCTTTCAACCGGACAAAGACTGGGACATGTGCGACCTCTTAACCGGCATTGGTTCCGCTGCCGAAAGGCTGTATCCCTCGGAGAGGAAGCAGCTTCTACTCTTCAATGTCTGGAGGACCGACAAAAAGCTGCTGGGATCAGTCGGGGCGCCAGCCCTATGCCAGGACAGTGGCCAAAGTGATGCCAGATCAGGTCGTCTTCCTCAATGCTTTGGCACGGGATATTCACTTGCCTGGTCCCCAGGGATGCTCTTTGGGGCAAGTACAACTGTGAGTCAGATTGGGCTGGTCACTGGTCGCTCTTTCCCACAATCTCCTGAGGCCATTTTCTTTGGTTGAGCAGCTGGAAACTGAGATGTCACGGCCAGGGTGCTTCCGCTAGTTGAATTATTCGAGATGACCATACCTCAGGATATCTTGTGCTGATAGGGACAGGAACGAAAACGCATTTGCGCTGCCAACAAGATGGGCGAAGTGGGAAGAAGTGACGGGAAATACTCTACAGTCGACGTTGAATGAGAATCCGTGGAGCGCACAACATGCCCTCCAGGTTTTGCAGGTCGTGTACCAACCCCTCAGAAGTTGTGCCCCATGGGCTGTAAAAAAACACTTCGACGAGTAAGGCATTCTTTTTCACTGGGTGCCCAAAAAGTCGTGGCCAGGTATGCAAGCTATTCCCATCCTTCTCATCCTTTGCCAGGGCCCTGTATGCCTGGGATGCCATGAATGGCCATCAGTTGGGGCCAGCTTTCTGGACAAACGGATTCACCTAACTATTGGCAATGATCAACCAGAACGAACATCAAATCAATAAGTAATTGTATGCATACGGATACGTATAAATCATATATATATATACATACATATGTAATATACATATCTATTTATATGATTTATGTATGTATGTATGCATGCATGCATGAATGCAATGCAATGCGATGCGATGCGATGCGATGCGATGCGATTGCATGTCATGTCATGTCATGTCATGTCATGTCATGTCATGTCATGTCATGTCATGTCATGTCATGTCATGTATGTATGTTATTTCATGCAATGTCTACAAAAAATATTTCACGATGTGTATCTGCACCAAGGTCGTTGATCGCTGCTTACTGCTCATGCCAGGGCCTAAGTTCTGCTGCCAGATAAACCATCCTGACAAACTTACCAGGAATCAGTGGTGTTCATCTATTCCAATTGGAGGTTAACTTTGGTATATATGATTATAGGCAGTTGTATGAATATAAAAATTTATATATATATATATATAAATAACTAACATTACATACACTAACTTTATCCATAGTTGTGTTGCCACCCGAAATTGATTGTAGATGCTGAGAATGACCAATTCCGTGGTCACCTTGGTAGCAAAAAAATGATCCATTCCCACATTAGAACGTGCAGTTGCTTCCCATCTCAAAGATAACTGAGGGCTCGTGCCCAACCAAGATGGATCCTGGATGTAGTTTTTTCTCCTGCAAAGATAGATCTCCTGACATGCAAGTGATGGTGCATGATGGTTGGTGTGAACCTTGACATTTGATCCTCGAAAGGCATGCGCGGTCTATCTCTGATGTGACGCACGTCTTGGGCAATGTCTCCAAGCTGATGTTCTTCAACGTGGAGAACCCCACCGGCCACTACAGGCTGGGTGGAGATGACTGGGTCATCCTGCAGTGTTTCGTTGTGAAGACAAGAGACGACGCTGTGCCAGGCTCGATCTCTCAAACCCAGCAGATTACAGCGTAGCTGAAAGCCTAGCAAAGTGCTCAGAGACATCTTTTTGGCTGAGAATAGCCATAGTTGGATTGGAACGGATTGGAAACATGGTTGAGACTTCGCATCCTTCAAGTATTGTTCACTATGTTAACTTGGGCTCGTTTGTTTAATCAGTACCAACCTTCAGCCTCTGTTGCCCAGCTGGGCTAAACATATCTACAGATTGTCGAACCAACTTGACGGAGGTTCTTCTTGACAGCTGGGAATCTGCGCTCAAGAGTGGGCCTCAAGACCGTTGAGGTGTTCAAGCATTGATCCATGTTTAGGTATATAAAGAGTTGGCCGACATGTGAGCGTTTTCACCTGGTGGATTCCTAGATTGCCAGATTTGTTCCTGTTTTCTGAGGCAAGGACATGGCAAAGTTGATGTCTCTCAAAAGGGAAACTGGTCACAGGCGGCCGGTGGGATGCTTGGTGGCTATTCGCTTGAAAGTTCAATAGAAGTATGGTGCGAGTTGGTGGCAGTTGGCATGACCAAAACTTCTGGTGAACAGAAAGACTTCGATGTTGGGCTAGCGGCTATAGGATAGGTTCGCTAAGGCTTCTGACTGAGAATCCAAAAGTTTCGGCTTCACCCAAAATGGACTATTCATCATAGGCCTTTCAGAAAAGAATACTACGAACCCCCCAACCATCGGTGGCGCAAACATCATCCCTACGACCTGGCGGGAGAAATCTCATTCTTTCAAGTTTCAAGCCTGGCAGGTGCGGAACCCGATCTTTTGCGACCATCCATTCAAGGCCGGGAGTTCATCAAGGCTGAGTCTTTTCCAACAAAGTCGGTGTCAATGCTTGGTCAACAGGGCCTTAATTTTGAATCCGGGGCTGAGACCAAGCCTCCAAGTGTGGTGAGATCTTGGAGCTAAGAGGTCAGCCCGAATGGATTTGCGAGGCTCCCATCATCACCGAGTGGCTTTTGCCAGAGGTGCACACCCTGACTCGAGCTATTCAAATGCTTAGGCTGAGAATCTCACTCGAGCAAGAAAGGCATTTTTAACTAACAGCTATTAACAGCTGATATTCCAGCTGATATTCCAACTCATATTCTCCAGATATTATTGAGGATTAAACAGGATACGTCAGCCATTCCCAGTTATTCATGACATCATAACTTGGTTTTCATGTGATTTCTTAAAATAGGGGTACCCCAAATTATCCAAAATTGGACCATTTTAGTATTGAAACTCATAGGTTTTGGTAAGCAACGACTGACCAACGACGTTCGGTCGAGGCGGGTAAGTTGGACTTCGACTATTCCAGTTCCCGCAGACCGCCTCGAGGCCCAACGTCTGAGTGGAAACCGAAATAAAACGATGAAACACCTGCAGTAAAGCTTAAGTCAAAAACACAACTGCCCAATATCATCAATACCTGTAGTACCGCACAAGGCGGTGGCGGAAGTTTCAAGAATAGGAAACCTATACTGTAGGAGAGATTGGATGTTGTGAATTATGGATGGCAGAGCGAATCCGCTGATGGACAGAAAGCTGGTTGGTGTTGTGTTTTTTTGGAGTGGTTGCAATGGTTGCAGTGGTCACCTCACCACAACTGCTGGATGTAGTGTGGTGTAGTGCAGTTGTTGTAGTTGTAGCTGTAGTTGTAGTGTGGTATAGTGGAGTTGTAGTTGCAATGTAGTGTAATGAGTGTAGTGTAGTTGCAGTGGCAGTTGCATTTGTAGTTGTGGCGCGGTGGAATTGGTGTAGTGTAGCGTAGTGCAGTGTAATGTAGTGGTAGTGGTAGTGGTAGTGGTAGTGGTAGTGGTAGTAGTAGTAGTAGTAGTAGCAGTAGTAGCAGTAGTAGTAGTAGTAGCAGTAGTAGTAGTAGTAGCAGTAGTAGTAGTAGTAGTAGTAGTACTAGTAGTAGTAGTAGTAGTAGTAGTAGTAGTAGTAGTAGTGCTAGTAGTAGTAGTAGTGCTACTAGTAGTAGTAGTAGTAGTAGTAGAAGAAGTAGTAGTAGTACTGTAGTAGTAGCAGCAGTAGTAGTAGTAGTAGTAGTAGCAGCAGTAGCAGTAGCAGTAGCAGTAGCAGTAGCAGTAGCAGCAGCAGCAGCAGCAGCAGCAGCAGCAGCAGTAGTAGTAGTAGTAGTAGGAGTAGGAGTAGGAGTAGGAGTAGGAGTAGGAGCAGCAGCAGCAGCAGCAGGAGGAGGAGGAGGAGGAGGAGTAGTAGTAGTAGTAGTTGTTGTTGTTGTCGTCGTCGTCGTCGTCGTCGTCGTTGTCGTTGTTGTCGTTATCGTCGTGGTTGTGGTTGTGGTTGTGGTTGTTGTGGTTGCGGTTGCGGTTGTGGTTGTGGTTGTGGTTGTTGTTGTTGTTGCTGTTGCTGTTGCTGTCGTCGTCGTCGTCGTCGTCGTCGTGGTCGTCGTCGTCGTCGTTGTTGTCGTCGTCGTCGTCGTCGTGGTTGTTGTTGTTGTTGTGGTGGCATTAATGTAGTGAAGTGTAATTAGATGTAATTAGTGCAGTGTAGTGTAATTAGTGTATATAGTGTAATGTAGCGTAGTCTATTTGTATTTGTAGATGTAGTAGTAGTGTAGTTGTAGTTGTAGTTGTCTAAAGCTTGAAAACGAAGCTAGTCTGCGAGACTTTCTCAGTTTCTGAACAGCAATTCTGGGAGACGTCCTCAAGTTTTGAACTTGACAACGTCAAAAACGAAGCAAGTCTGTGACACTTCCTCAATTTTCGAAGTTGACACCGTCAAAAACGAAGCAATTTCTGCGAGACTTCCTTGGAAAGTTGAGTGCAGAGCTGACGGCCTCGTACCAATGCGTTTTGCGATTTTTCCAGTCCATGTCTCTAAAGTATTGCGCCTGCCAGGGAAAAGTGAGGCCAGGTCATACGAAGTGCTGCACCTGTCACACAAAATCATCTTCCCAAAACTGAAGATCTGATGCTCCAAAATGCAACCCCTCTCAGGAAATCAGCGCCCTGACCTCCTAACAACATCTCTGGTGAACATATCTCTTGTACTGCGCCTGCCACGTGAAATGCATCTTTCCAGATCCTCTTCAAGTGTCCCGCGCCTGCCATCAATTTTGGAAATGCCACCAAACCCTCACGTTTTGCTCACTTGTGGCAAGGTGCGGAATCCCTTGCGCCTGCCACGCAAAATCACATCTGAACTTTAACATTTTGACTTGGAAATGTGCTTCGCGCCACAACGGCGTGCACTTTTTCGACATCTCAATTTCAAAAAGTGCTCCGAACCTGGTGTGTGCTTCTTGCCACAGCGGCGTCCACTTTTTCGTCATCTCAACTTCCAAAAGTTTTCCCACACAGGTGTTTTGTACATTTTGATTTGGAAATGTGCTTCGCGCCACAACGGCGTGCACTTATTTCAGCATCTCGACTTCCAAAAGTGGTCCGATGTTGGTGCGTTTTGTACATTTTGACTTGGACATGTGCTTCGCGCCGCAACGGCGTGCATTTTGTCATCCCTCATCTGGCCAGATGGCTCCGCACCCGCCACTTTAGCGAGGCTACTTTTTGACCCTCCGGAACCACAAATCATTAGAAAAACGCAGTGTCTCGCGACTTTTCTACCTTTTCGCGCTCCTGCATCTTCTTTCCTCTCACTCTTTCTCTTCTCTGATCTTCTTTCTTCTTCTTCTCTTCTTCTTCTCTTCTCTTCTCATCTCTCCATACTGTCGGAAGTTTGGCTTCTAAACTTCCTTCGAATAGTAATGTATGAATATATACATATATATATGTATGTAAATGATTGTATATGTACAATTATGTATGTATATATATATAATATGATATATAAAATTTATTATAGTATATACAAAATAATATATAAATATAAGATATACATATACATATATGATATATAATATATATTATATATATGATATATACAATATATACAATATATAATATATATATATATAATATATAAAATATTTAAGATATATATAGTATACAATATACATATATACATAATGAAATATAACATATATATAATATATATATAGATAATATATACTATATATAACATATTACATATATAATCTATTATATACAAAATAATATATATATATTATATAATATATATATATAATATAATATAATATATATATATATAATATAATATAATATATATATTATAATATATTTATAATATATATATATAATATATAATATTTATAAAATATATATTATATATTATATATATAATACATTTTATATGTTCAATATATTTAATATATTTAATATATTTAATATACGATATATATATATATGTATATATATGTATATGTATCATACATGTACATTATTTTACACAGTCAGCAAAGCATCTTCCACCTTTGCCATTGCCATTTTACTGTTGGCAGCACCTTAGGTGCAGTGGTTCTCGATGCCGAAACGTTCCAGCGGATGCTCATAGCACTGCAGGTCGGCTGTTGGTTCATGGTCTTCTGAAATGACCAGCATCATGCTGGGATGTTTTTTTGCACTACCTTACAAGCTCTTCGAGGAAACTATCGTGAAATGGACCTGATTTGGTCAATTGATTGAGTTGGCTGTCCAGCAAGGAAGCTGTTGCCACGCGGCAGCTTGTGAGAAATTAACACAATGCATTGGCGAGTTCATAACCCTCCTAATGTCTGACTTCACCAGACTTGCAGAATTCATTGTTCCATGCATCACCAAGAGCTCCTGCAATCATTCC